TTAATTGGCAAAACAATTAAATTATTTAATTGGCAAAACAATTTAATTATTTAATTGGCAAGACAATTTAATTATTTAACTGGCAAGACACAAGTTACATTTTATTATGAAATACTTCCAGGAAATGAACTATGACTGTCACGATCACACAATCACAGTTCATCCTCATGAATAAACTTGTACATTTTATTTTGGACTGCAGGTATTGAATGGAGCAGAAAGAAAAGAAGGTGCAGCCACAGTGAGCTGCTGGTTGGTTGGTGTCAAACTTCTCAGTGAAGTAACCTGCTCTTTTCACTGTTCACAGAATCATGTGTAGCTTGAAAATCAGATCTGATAATTCTTGACTCCTTTATTAAAACAAGAAATGTTTGTTTCGCTGCCCCCAGAATTCAGTGATGTGCTGTATTAAACTAAATTTGCTGTCCCTAAGTGTCCCCAAATCAACCAACTGTAATGAATAATACTTCTCCTCAGTCCCTCAGTCTGAAATGTAAAATGATGCTTTAAATGTTTCTTCTGTGCATTAGATGGCACTGTTGTTCTTGTAATGTAATTTCTGCACCTGTGGTCAAACCCCCTGTTCTCAACTCAGCATGAGACCAACACTCATCAGAACTGATATCAACAAGTTGAAGATGGTTTCTATTTTAACCTATGACGTGTTGCTTATTGTGCATTTGTTGTATAATTGAGTTCCAGTAATTGGGCTGAATGCACGTATCAGTAGTGATGGATGAAAACAGCATTAATTGAACCATCTTACAACTTGTAGGAAACACAAACAAAATAGGAAGAGTAAGTAAATATGTGAATGTCACAAAAATCCAAACTGTAAAACCTCATATGATAGTTAAATTGATTATCAATGGATTCAATGCTTAATTGTAAAATATACTCAACTGCACAGCCAATCAGTTCAAGAGGCACTGCATGATTCTGATTATAACATGTCTGAGATCATCTGTTTCCATTTGATATCGTCTGACTCCTTCAAGGTTGGCTGCTTTGCTTCATGTACCTGGAGTTAATATTGCATAAGCTCCGTGTTGTCATTTTAAATGAAGATGCATGATGCTAACACGCTCACATCCTGCAGCCTTTATGTGTTCCCACTCTACTGAAGGATTATCTCGCACTCCCCTTCTTGTTCCAAACGCTATAGGTCCCCGGTTTTATGACGAGCGTCGGCTGTAAACATGCAGAGTCTCAATGGTGCTCATGGATTATTTGTTATTATTATTATTCACAGAGGAACAGACAGAAACAGAAGATTACAAATTCAGGAAGATGAAAAGTATTATTGCGCTGAGTATTATATGAATATGATGTAAGAAGCATTAACATACACTGTATATAAGTTAGAGACGAAACATAGAAAAGAATAAAAATCTATTGGATGTACCCAAAGACTAAAAAAAACAAATACAATCCAGCTTTCCAGAGAGGTTGAAAACAAATATTAAACAGACCGACTGTAGAAACACAGACACAATTGCTTTTTAACGTTTATCAAGATCAGAGCAATGGATGTTTTTCTCTTTTTGTTCTTTGAAATAAAGACATTTGTAATATGTGGTTCATCAGCTTTTTCAACCTTGTGATTTCTAATTTGAACAAATTTGACAGGCAATTTGTGAATAATACACATTTCATTATTGAATATGAGAAACCTTAAAGAATTCAAATACATTAGATTAAAATATGATCTACCTTGAGAAGTTCCCATTCTTAAAAAAATAATAACAATCTTCACATGACATCAAGGGACCCAGTCTGCTCCCTCCCATATGGTATAATACTGAAATGTTTCTATTGGACTTCAAGCTTCTTCGTT